TAAATCTAACAACAGTCGGAATTTAAGTGGGCGTCCACCTCCACGTGACTGCTCAGAATCTGGACTGCGTATCTCTTCCCTTTCTCCTCAGCCCTTGGCACTCCTGCCTCCAGAGATGGGGTCAGGTCCTGGCGGGGAGGCGTTCAGCGCTGCTCTGCCCAGCCCTTACACCTGTGCCCTCGCAGCTGGGAGGCTTCAGCGCCCCCTCTGAGACAAGACACCCCGAAGTGCAGTCACCTGCTGCCTTCATGTCTTCACTTGACCTTAGCCCAGCAGGACATCTGTGGGCAAGCCATGCTTGCCGAGGGTATGGATTCCGCCCTGCATTTGTGTCCCCTCCTGTCCCCCCAGCAGTCCCCTCAGAGCCCTGCTGCAGATGGCCACTTGTTCGTGAATTACATTCACAGGATTTCTGCCGGGAATTCAATGTGAGACAGCGGTGGTAGGGTGGCAAACAGAGCGGCTTAGCATGTGCGTTACCTCACATCCTCTCTTTTCCTGTGTGGCTGAAGACAACCAGATTGCCTCCCTTCAGCTATTGTCAATAATGCAACGCCTTATTACCTGTAGTCACCGTGTTGTACAATAGCTCTGGAACAGACTCTTTCTGACTCAGTGAAGTTTTATATCCTTTGGCCCACATAAACATTTCCCAATGAATGACAGTAGTGGTCCCTCGACTAGGTCATTGAATGAATTCATCACTAAATGAGGAATTACACATCATATGTGCATTGCAGTATTCAGAATGAAGAAATTGGCAAAGAAAACTCCAACTTGATGCCTTTGCTTTCACTTGCATAACTCTATGTATAGTACTGCAGTGCATAACAGAACAACCTACAGTGCTGCCTTGCACAGTACAATCAGCAAAAGTTCCAGTACTGTATAACCAAGATGTACTTCACCAGAAAAAGGTATTGAGACCCAGTAAACAAGATGTACGGAACTGTACAAAAGAAGGTGGGTTATAGGTCTGGGCTGTGCATCCTGGTTGTAAGTTTGAACAGTTGTTTGACCAGGTTGGTTTTTAAATGAGGGGTATCAGTACCCCACTGTGTCACTAGCCAGTCCTCAGCAGCCCGACTGTACTTTCTTCTTCAGTGAGCTGAGTGATTTTTCCATGGCACGTGGGGGATCACGCTTTGTGTGTTTTTCCGTGCCTCGTGTATTTCTCTTAGAGAAGGTCAATGTCGTGGAACTTTTCCCCATGTTTTCTTCTAGTAATTTTAAACTTCAGGTTTTATTTTTAAGTTTTAAACTCATTTTGAGTAGGTTTTGATACAGGATGTGAGATAAAAAGTCTAATTCCTGACTTGTGCATGCTGACACCGAGTTGAGGAGACTTTCCTTGTCATGTGTTTGTGGCATCTTTGTCAAAATCTCTTGACCATAAATGCATAATTTCTGGGCTCTCTATGCTGTCCCATCTACTAGTCTCTGTTTTATAATCCCAGTGCCATGCTGTTTGGGTTATTGTTGGTTTGTCATGCATTCTGAAGTCAGATAGTGTGAGGATGTACCACAGTGCTGGATAATAGAAGGCTCTCTGCCTTTCTGGTTATCAACAAAACTGAAGCAAACACTACAAAATTGTTCATTGATTCCTCTTTTTAAACTTCCTGCCATTGCACTGCTATCTGATTACAATATTCTCATTTTATACGTATTTCTCTAGTTTGGGAGCAGTGGACCTTTCTTCCTCGGACTGTCTTTAAGTTCTGGTATTTGACAGGATTCCTTGGTCCCTGCACCTTCTCTTTTGACCTCTTCCATTGTCATAGTTCAACATATTTTTGCTGGTATTTGTGCATCTGCAAGCCTCTGGCCAGTAGCACTCATATGAATTCAGATCCACTTAACTTTCAAATAAACATCTCTGCTCACACAGCCTCAGGCTTTCTCTCTGCCAGCCTCATCTCACTCTGTGTTCATGTCTTCAGCAGAGTCTACCAGCACCGTCATCTGCCCAGGTACTCAGCTTAGAAAGCAGGATCATTTTTCTCTCTCACTGTGTGTAATGCATTAAAAATCCAATGTGTTAGTTTTACTTATTAAACTCATTAACTATTTTTGAATAATGTATAACTTCTGCCCTTTCTCACTTTCCAGTCTCCAGTTTGATTTTTAAATATTTTTTGTAGATAATACAATAGCTTTCTAGCCCTGATTTCTGTTGTCATTCTTCAATCCAAGCATAGATTTGGCAATGCTAGGTGCTTAAAACCTTTGTTGGATGACTAAATTTAATAAGTGAATAAATTTAAAAATTAACATTTTATAAATCATAATAATCATGTATTTGTTCCTGTGTTTATCTTGTTTAATTCAGTTTGAAAATATATACACAATGCCATCAATACAAAATATGTACAAGGCACCTTGTTATTATGTATGCTATTCACGTGTGAGTCTGTGGTTCAATTTCTGCAGGACTTTCAACTAAGAGAGCAAAGGCAAATCTTCAAAAATAATAGAAAAATATCTCCAGTTTCTTGAGGGATGAATGAAGGTCACAAAGCCTGATAGTTCTCTATTCATTCCCCAATTTTCTTTATCCCTGCTCCTCATTTCATTTATATTTGCATTGTTACCCAGAAAAATGGGATTCTCCTGTTTAATAGGATGGGAAAACAGAAAAGCTGAGCCGTCAGACAGTAACTGCTCTTAGCAGAGAGGCAAAGAGTGCCACAGAGCGTCACACATTCACGACTGCTATCCAAGCGCGTGTGCACGTGTGTGTGCTGTGCTGCGGCTCTCTTTGGATTCTCCATCATCTAGAAGATATCTTTATGTGAAGGTGTCCTCATCAAGCAGGTGACATTTGCTTCCTCTCTTTTGAAAACAAAGCAAAGCAACAAAACGGAAGCAAACACCCAAGTCTGAGTATAAGCTCATGGGCCGACGTCTTGAGTAATAGCTGTAAGAATGTTTTTAAAGCGGGTGTCTGGTTTCCCTGAAGGGAAGAATCCTGGCCTCAGCACTCTGCTTTCTCTCTGCACAGTTTGTGGTTAGTCTGTGTACTCGCGCTTCATACATGAGCCACAGCTGTGTCCTGAAGTGCCAAGAAAAACCACTTCGAAATAGCGTTGTTGCAAGCAGACAATGGTGTTTATGAACTTTGGCAGCGTCTGCACTCGTGACCATATTTAAATATGAAACTTGACTGGAAAAATCCAGCACATAGGGAAGCCAGTAATGTGGATCCTGCGCTGGGTCTACTGTTGGTAGGAAAAGGTGCACCCCAAAGCACAGAGGTCTGAGGCCTGGCAAGCCGCGCACATTGTCCTGCAAAGGTCCTGAGACCTAAGCACAGCAGTACGCATTCTTCCAGGGAGCACAGCAGGCAGCCTGCCTCCTGCAGGGAAGTCATCATGGCTGCCAAACCAGGCTTCGACTTTGCAACAGCTGGCTTCTATTATGCCTCACAAATTTTCAAAAATAGCCTCCTTTTGCTTGTTCACTCATGAAATCATAATATTCATGTAATCTGAGACTCTGGACGATTTCCTAAGTCAGGTCCAGTGCACAGCGGCTGACCTCCAGTGTTGTCCCCTTTATCTGGCTGGACTTGAGGGTTTCAGGGTTGGAGGAGGGCTCCTTTGCTTAACTGTCACCGTGCTGACTGCCGCCGAGGGCCTAGTGCCGGCCCTATTGCTGCTCCACCAGCCACATCTGAGCAGCAGTGATGTTTAAAACCTTTGTCCCCAGTAGCAAGTGTGCGTGCTACAGCGAGATCTCATTTCTCAACCCCTCGGCTGTGCGCTGGCTTCTCCCCACGGCTGAGCAGTCTCCTGCTTTCACACCCAGGCACTTCTGCAGGCTGTGAGCTGCCCGGTGTGCGGGGCGGGGTGAAACTCATGGCTTCCAGAGACTGTGAGTGTCGTCACGAGGGCACTGTGAAGCCAGATGGTGTTTCTGAACAGTGTTCCCTAAGCCTTCTTTGTCGTATTCCTTTTGGGGGGATCCACATCCCCGCAGGTCTGAGTCACTGGTCCTGAGTAAATCTTTTGGTTTCTCACGAAAGGCTTGGAGCCTTGAGTTCCCGGCTACTCTGTCTCAGGTCCTGCTATCTCTGCCTCAGTCTAGTAAACATCATGTGGCTCCCCTGGCTTGCCTTTCTCTGTCTCGTAGTAAGGTGAGTTTTGGAGAGATTTTTTTCCTTTCAGTGTCTGCTGGCTTACATTGGGCCTACTATCCCCAACCAAAATGCTAAGAACATGAGAGTGGGGAGTTTATTTGGCATATTTTTATTTCTTTATGAAGAAAGAGAATGTGTGGGAATATCTTTCTCCCTATCCAAACCCCACATATGAAGAGAAGTGCTGACTGCGTACATCGGACCAAAGGCTCTGTTCCTTCATCTCTCCCAGAGAGGACTCACCTGGGGGCTTCTGGGGGGCTCCAGCTGGCCTCCTTCTGTGACCAGCTGTTGGAGGGGGTGTCTATTGAGACCATTTAAATATAGGTCACATGACTATGTATAATGATATTTTATGGTGTTTCAAGGAAAACAAAAGATTAATAATCTCAATGTTTCTTTATAGTGAGGACTGATCCTATGGTTTGTTGGGAAGTATTGTAAGAGTTTTCTTCTGAGAAATCTAAAAGTGGACCAGATCTTATCAGTCTGGGAGCATTTTAGTAGGATCCGTTATAGGGCAGATGAGCAGCAGAAAGGGTAGCTTCTGTGACCTGGTAATCAGGGGTTGGATTGAGTTTCAGCCACTAGTGGCTGGACTGTGGGTTTCTGAGCCAGGATGTGTGGGCATGTGGATGCTCAGGATGGGATCTGTGGCCGTGTTTATTCATCAGCAATGCTGAGATCCAAGGAGATCATCCAGCAGTGTGTGGGGAAACTTCTAAATTAGTGTCGCTGCTCTGTGTTTATGTAAGGTTGTGACCACCACCAAAATCAGTGACACCAAGGTATACGCACTGGTAAGAGTTTAGTCATGTGTAAGTTACTTACAGAATTTTTATTTGTTTTTATTCTGCAGCCTCCACCTCAGATTTATGACAAACAGCTGGATGAAAGAGAACACACCATTGAAGAATGGAAAGGTGATTCTACTACTCATAAGTGTATATTTTTTACTTTATAGAGACTTAGAACACAGAAAGTACCTGGCACTTCTATAATTTACAAAGTGACCCAAGACCTATTCTTATAAAATAATTTACTGAAATTTTAAAATTGTTCTCTTGGGCCATTTTCAAAATTTCTAAAATTTAATCTCTCTTTTCATACTGGTAGCAAACTGAGAAACTAATTATTGGCATCTTTGCAGGTAGTACTGATTATCGAAGGGTTTATTGTTGTGGAGGGCAGGCTTCCACTCAAAATTTCAAAATCTAGCTTTCCTGCTTGTATATAAAAAATTTGATTTTTACATATAGCATGAAATTAAAATTAGGTCTGAAATGTTTTTAGACTTTCAAAAGAGGAAGATAGTTATTAATGAATTCATTCACTGAATGTATAGGATTTCCCATGCAGATAATAAAAGGAGTAATGAGGGACTTGAGCCTTTTTCTTTCAGAAAAAAATTCTCCAGACTTTTGTTCCATCTTCAAAACAGTACCTAAGTTGAAACAAAGAGGAGAGGCAACTCAAAGTTGCAGAGCACTATTAAACTCATAGAAATAACTACAGAGTAGAATAGTACCAGAAGCTGTAATGTGAAGAAACTAAGTGCTCAGATCAAAGTGGGGAGAAACATAAATGGAGAATTTGGAGCAAAGGGAAATATATTTACCTTGAAGGAATTAATAAATATAAATTGGGATTAGAAAAATAGTAAAATACCGAATAGGGGCTATAAGAATGTCAGGAAAGGCCAAAATTTACAAGGAGAACAAAAAGACTTTCTTGGGCAAGAGACCGTGCTGGTGAAGATGGAACACTGAATCAATGCAAAAGTAAGCAATGAAAATGCAGCCAGGAGGAACCTGCTTCCTTTGGTCTAATCACGAATAGAGGAGTTTGCGGGGTTCATCATAAGAGAAAGAGATACAGCCATCAGACAAAGACATAGACTAGACTGGGGAAAGAAGTGTGCATTAGAGTTGATGATTATGTGAGCCTCAGGCTACCAAAAGCCAGGGTGACCAGGGCTGGATAATTTTTAGCAAAAGGGGAAAAGTTAAAAGAACTAAAGAACATTTAGTTCATAACGTGCTAGCAATAAGAAAGACAAACATGGATGCCAATTTAGCAATGAATGAGATGAATCTTTAGCAGGCTGTCTTTTAGGCCTGTTTAGATTTAGGATGTGAACCTGGAAGAAAAATAATGACATGACAGGTGTGAGGTCAGGTCATAATTTAATGTGAGAAATTGTGCATCTTACTTAAGGTGCACGTATTAAAAAGCAGGTGCTCAGAAAAGGTCAGCAAAGTCCTTGATAAATACCACAAGATTTATGAGAAGTGCCTACCCACTGAGAATTCAGAAAAACACATATCTTTCATACATTTGTTTATTAACTTTGTTTATTGTTATTAAATTTGTTTATTATTGAGGAGCTACTTTTGCCTACTTCATCCTAATTTCAAGGAAAAAATAGAAATAGAGGTATAAGTTGACTTTTTATATTGCTCAACTCCATTGAAATACTGTTATGTTATGAATAACTTCTCTGTGGATTAAGAAACATTTGCTGTATATAGTAACATGGGTAACTTTCTTACAGAACTTATTTACAAGGAAGTAATGAATTCAGAAGAAAAGACTAAAAACGGCGTAGTGAAAGGACAGCCTTCCCCTTCAGGTACCCACTCTCAGTGAATAACCCATAACCTAGTACCTGGCTCTGTCCTGGGCTCCGGGAGGGGTCGCAACCAGTTACGTCACTTCCTGAACCTGTGAGCAACTTCCATGCTACTGTTTCCCCATGGCTTTAATTTTATTTGTTCTGACATTTAGTTTGGCGTTCATTCTGGTTATTCTGATTATTATGGCCCAGCACAGAAGTTCTCTTAGAACTGATTTTAATACACTAACACATGCGAAAGAAATGCTGACATGGGTTTCTTCAAGAATAAATGCTATTTGTAAAACACGGAGACTCAAGTCCTAGCTGGCCACCAGGCCAGTGGAGAGCTCAGAGACCCCCTAGGTCCCCCCTCTCCCCTCATCCACTCTCAGTTTCTGAACTCTTCCTGAATCGGTGTGATCATCATGTGCCTTTACCTTGTGTGCTGTGTGATTGTCACCTTTCTTATATTAGGACAAAATACCTGACATAGGCAACCCAAGGGGAGAAAGGTTTATTTTGGATCACGGTTTCAGTTTATTGCCACAGGCTCCTTTAAATTCCTTCTGTTTCTTTGCAGGGGGATTTTTTGTGTTTGTTTTGAGACCCAGTCTCACTCTGTAATTCAGGCTGGCCTTGAACTCCCTGCGAAGCCCAGGATGCCCTTAAACTCTCAGTGATCCTCCTACCTCAGCTTCCAAAATACTGGGATTATGGGCATGTGCCCCACACTGCAGGTTCAAGGCAGATACAGCAAGGTAGAAGGGTGTGCAGGAGATGAGCTGCTGAACGCATGGCGACCAGGACCAGAGCCAACAGGAAAGTGCACAGAGAAAGTCAGGCCCATCAAAGTCGCACCCCAGCGACCCGAGTGACCTGTTCTCTGGGAAGCCTCACTTCCTTATAGCGTCTTGGGCTGTGGACACACCAATGGGATAACGTGTGTTCAAGATTAGCCCTGTGGGGGGCTTAGCAGTGTAAGCCCTTGCCTGGCAAGCGTGTTAGCACTATGGCAGGTCAATTTCCTAACTTCCAGGAGTCTCTAGTCCAGGCAAGTTGACAATCAAAATGACAGTCACAGTCAAGGCCACTTGAAGTAATTTGCACACTCTTACTAATGATAATATATTTTTCCTAAGATGCATGTTCTGAATATAAAGCATTTTAGAAAATATGGTTTATTTTCACCTTTAAATTACATCGAGCTCATGATGGCTAGAATATAACCTGCAAAGTTCTAGTTTAGAAGAAAACGTATTTGTGTGTCCTACCTTTAATCAAAAGTATTTTCCATTCATTGCAAACTGTTTTAGGGTTAGGGTACAGGGTGAATTAATGAATCCATTACTCACTCCGGAACTACTCTGTGAATCAGCCTGACACCCAGACGCATAGTTACTACGAGTCCTTCTTCAATTCTGTCCCAAGTTGTCCTCGGAGAAGGCAACGGGGCACTGGCACTGTCTTCCACCTTGCCCACCTTAGTTACTCTTTCTAACAGCTGGATTGACTCTGAAGAAGTTGTTTCTAACTTCTCTAAATGCTCTCTGCTGCTGACTAAAGAACTCTTAAGACAACATCAGTATCCATCCAGAAAAATTCGTGGTGTTAAAATTCCTCTTATAATCAGAACAAATTTTCCTAGACCTATTAAGAAGTTGAAACACCAAGATCTGGAGAAGATGCCAGTTTTTCCTACTGGGATGGAGCACATTTTCAGTTCAAATTATCATTCTTCATTTCTTTTCTATACTACTTTGCTCCCAAAGGCTTTTAATATATTCCCAAAGTATAGGATCCTTTTAAATTTTCTATTAGTCCCTATGTTTAAAACATTGGACCTCTTGTTTTATTAGCCCTTACTGATTATAAGTTTACTGAGAAGATTTCCACATTCATCTTTGCACACTGTTAAGTGCTAAGTCCTGCAATATTAATAGTTCAATAAATATTTACTAATTTGAAATTACCAGTCAGGTCATCACTCAGCATGCTGCTTGCTGCTATTCCAAAAGCAGTATTCAAGACAGGACAACAGCTTTAATCAAGTACCCAACTAAGTAAATTCATGCACGGTGATGGAGCTATTTAGTCACCCTGTTATTCACCATGAGTTTACATGTGACAAGGATTAAATCACCTCTGACATTTCTTCATATACCCCAGAATGGTTTGCTGCTTTCTCTCTGTTGTTTTGATTCATTCATTTTGGAAGTATATATTTGTGATTATTTTTGCAGGCTTGCTTTCTTCATTATTAATGAATATTTCTATAATACATCAGGTAAGGTCAGGTAATGCATCAGTTAACTGAGAGTGAGAAGTCTAAACTCCTCTTTAACTGTGCCAACCACTGGTACCAGTCAGAGACTGTCTACCTCAGGCACACGTACCCTCAACTATATAGTTCACCGATGTAACAAATTCAGAATTAAAACAATTGTGGAGTCCATCTTTCATTACATGATTTTAACAGAAAATGATTTACAAGTAAATTTTGATAAATTATGCGTGTTGTGATGTATTTGTGCGTGATGTATCTGCATATATTTACACCGTGCCCAATATGGAACAGCTGCATGCTGGAGCCACCTCTTGCCACTTTAGAGATGCAATTGTATGCATCTCTTCTCAGAGTGATTTTATGGACAGCCTCTAACCAGCCAGAGAAATTTATAGCATGCAACTTGGCAGACTCTAAGAGTCAGTGCAGTCTCCCCCTGGAGAGCCACTTGTTAAATTTTTATTGGTGCATCACTGAATTAATGTGCTCGTGTATGCATGCAGCAAACTGCTGGAAAGAAAAAGCAATTACTGAAACATCTTTTGAAAAAGTTACTTTCCCCCTTCATGTCTCCACACCATATTTTTGTCTAAACATCTAGGACAAAGTGATCTTGCAATATGGATTCCCATCCTAGTCAGTGGTAATCCCACAGCAAGGGAATCAGTTCATGCAGCTCCTCAGGGGCAAAATGGTCTTAACCCTCAAGCCTGTTTTAGGGATGCTTTAAAAATGTAAACAGGAAGTTAAATGCACATTTTCAGAGTCAGTTCTGGATCTGAAATTTATTGATGGGCTTGTATATCAATCAGGACTACATCTAAGCCTCAGATACATTCCCAAGCCAATAATTTTACTCCCTCTGCCATCTGATTTCACTTGCAGAGTGATTTGTGCTCAAGAATAGCTTCACTGTTTGCTTCCTGAGTTAATTTGTAAAGACTGCTGCAAGAATAGTAGTCTGTGAACAAAAATTAATTTTCTGACAGCAGTTGTGTAGAATGTTAAAGCCAGAACAAATGCAGGAGGTCATCTAACCCAGCACTTTCCTATTTGTCTCTCACCACTATTCCATGTAGAAGTAAAGTTCCCTCAGTGACAGTGACCCACCGAGATGGAGATGCTTAGCACATAGTGGGCAGAGATTTTTAGAAAGTCTTTAAATGAAAGATACACACGTCCAGGTGTTGTTAGTACACAGTCCCTCCCTCACTGTGTGGACAGCGTTCCCAGCCATGAGAGTAGATACCTCCCAGATGTGGTCACTTATTTAGTTCAATAAGTTGTATTTAGTTTTTGTTAAAAAATCATCAAGCCCAGATATGTTAGGAGCTCAAGATTATACAGAGAGAAATGAATATCGTTTGGTGGTTTTCTTTTTCTTAGATTTCTTCTCCTTTTTTTTGTATATATCTCTCTGTTGGTGGTGGTGTTGTGGAGTGGATTGTCAGAAAGAAATTTCCTTTTTAAAACCAGCAACAGTAATAATATCAGTGAATATCTTTTTGTGAGAGGACTTCTGGCTTGGAAATTTTCATTAGCATAAGTTATTTCATTTTATGAATTGTACTATATTAAAGTTAAAAGTAACTAATATCCCTCATTCACAACCTTATTAGTAATTTTAGTACCTTTAAATGTTACTGAAAATGTGCATTGCTTCACTGAAGGCAAAGCATATTATAAAATGCATCTCTCCACCAGTCCCTTCTGTGTAATAGAGAAGAAAGGGGTATTTGTCACATTGCTAAGGTGTCCTGGCAAGTGGACATCATAATTGCATTTGGTCTGGTTCAATTCTGTTTAAGAGGCAGTGAATTAATGTGAGACTAAGGTTTTTTTCTGTCCCTTTTTCTAAATGGATTCTTAATTCCTTTTTTTTTCCCAAGATGAGTTCTCATTATTTAGTTCAGGTTGATCTTGAACTCATTATGTAGCCAGGCTAGCTTCAAACTTACAGCGATCATCGAACCTCAGCCTCCCAAGTGCTGGGATTACAGGTGTGCACCACCACAGCTAGTGTCTGTGTGTTTTATTTGAGCTAATTTTTATGGTTTGCAAAACTTTTTGTTGCCTGTATGAAAATAGACCTGAATGGATCATATTAAAGCCAGAAGTGATTACAGTCATTTATTATAATGCAATAATGCAGGGAATGCAAAGCAAAAATTATTCATCAAACAGCAGTAAGATCATTAATACTTACCAGTCTTCTCTAAAAGACAGCTGATCAGTAACATTTGCCAATTTCTGTGGTATAAATATTTTCACCTTGACCAGTTGCAAGCTCCCACTGTGACACCAGTGAATGCAGAGTTGTAAAGTGATCCTAATAATTAGCTGTAAGAAGCCATGAACACTGCCACCAACACACGGAGAGACAGTGCATACTGTTCTCCTTTCCTAGTGCCAAGGAGAGGACCTGCTCCTGTAAGGCAAGCAGGGGGCATGGCAACTTTCACAGAGGAAGCATCAGAAGAAAAGACCTCTTTTGATTTGTGGTGTAAAAACTCAGGTACACTAGTCCGTAGAACCCTAGAAATGCAGGCTTTCTGTAAAGACTTGATAGGTTCTGAGTGTGGAGTAAGTGAAGGCTAATTATAAATTTACATTCAATATTGATAAAGTAGAAGACAGGACTCTTCTGATGCAGCATAAAGGTTGCAGCGAGCTAGGCAATGAGCACAAAAAATAAGAGGTGATTTTCCTTGGCCAAAACAGTGTAGCATCGTTTGATCTGTTTGATTTCCAGTCTACTGCCAATGAGACTCTTTATTCAAATAAACCAATAGTTCTAATTTACTACCAATGAACAAAAACAATTCCATTTTTAATTATATGAAAAACCAGGAAAATAACCCTTATGAATAAGTATAATAAAAGAAGTGCAAAATGTGTACTCCAGAAATTACAAAACATTGTTTAATCAGTGTTAAGTTAAAGAAGATCTAAGCAAATGGACAGATGTACTATTACTTATGGATGGGAATAGTCCCTATGGTGAAGATAATACTCCTCAAATTGACTTAAAAGTCAAACAATACAAAAATAAAGACTGTTTTCTTGCAGAAATCTAGCCGTAGAATTCAGGGTGAAATGCAAGGCACCCAGAGTAGTCAGACCATCTTGAAGGAGATAAAATTAGAGGTTCACATTGCCTGATATCCAAAATTAGAGCAAAGAGTCATATTCAATACAGCATGCTACTTATATGAAGATGTAGATCAATGCAATAGAATTGAGATTCCAAAAATAAATCCTCACATTTGTTAGCCATTGATTTTTGACAACTGTGTCAAGATAACTTTATAGGGAAAAATAATCTTTTCAGTAAACTGTGGTAAAACTGAATGTCCACTTGAAAAAGAATACAGTGGACCTCATCCTATGCTAGAATGATCTCAAAAAGGCCCATAAATCGTAGTGTAAGAATTACAGTTATACAGTTCTCAGAGGAAAATGTGAATTAAATCATCATGATCTTGGGTTAGAAAATGATTTCTTAGAGGTGACACAGAAACTCAAGTGACAGAAAACAATTAGAGAAATCTGACATTATCAAACCTAAAACCACTTGTGCTTGACCACTGAGACCTATTATTCTGTGCAATCAGTGTGTGCTGATAATTACTCAGAGAGAATGAACTTAAAGAAAATTAAACACAGAATTCTTCTGTGACCCAAAAACTCCATTCTTTGTTACATACCTAAGAGAAGTGAAAACACATCTGTACAAAAGTTGTACATAAAAGTTTATGAAAACATTGTGTACAGTGGGAAAAAAGTCTAACCCAGATGCTCATCACATTCCTACCAAGTAACTGTACAGATAAACCAGGTCAGTACATCCTAATGATGGGCCATCCTCCTTTTGTATAACAGGATGAAATACATACCACAGTGTGGATGAACCTTATGGATATTGTACTTTGTGAGAGAAACGAGTCACAACTGATCTCATATTGGGCTCTTCCATTTGTGTGAAATGTTTAGATTTGGCCATGCTGATTAGCCTAGCTAGAGCTGGAGAGTAGGCAGGGAGTACAAAGCTATGCTCCTTTTCGGAGTAATAAAAATGCCACAAGGTTGATTGCAGTCATGGCTGTGCTACTCTGAATATGCTAAAAAAAAAATACCTCAGTCTTCACACAAATTAAGTTTATAAAGCATATAGTATGTGACATAACAAAAATGTAATATGGGCATGATTTCATTTTTCAAGTCCATAGTAAACCTAAACTACAGCACAATGACTTGAAAGTTATTTATAAGAAAAGAATATATCATGTAGAGACAAATGCATGGTATAAAAAGTGCCATCTCACTCTGCACATCTATAATCCATCAGGCATTTGTTAAGGTCTGGAGTTTGGTCTTAATCCCAGCCTTTTGATAAGGATGTGGAAAAACTGAGGATGATTCTGAGAAGTCCATTTTAATGACACTAAATGATTAGATCCCAGAGCTTATGAGAGAATCTGAAAGATGCTTGTATAATTTAATGCATAACTGGGGAAATGCAATGTATGCATCGATCAGAGGTTATCTGGCACCATTTCCCTAAGAAGCATAACTACATAAAGGTGAAATAAAAGAAGGCCAGATAAGTTTGCATCGCATATTATTTTGATAGTGAGAATAATTATTTACACAATATAATAAGGCATTAAAAAGCGAGGGGCGGTGGTACATCCCTGTATCTCAGTACTCTGAGGTGCTGAGGCAGGAGGATCCCAAATTCAAACCCTGCCTGGGCCACTTCGCAACTTACTGAGATCTCGTCTCAAAATAAGAAACAACAAAAGTCAGGATGTCATTCCGTATAAGGGCACTGAGTATAATTTGCAGTACAAAAAAACAAAACAAAAAACAAATCTCTTCTGAAGATACTTAAGAGGTATTGAGAATTTTAGAAATTTAAAAAACATGAAAAATCCCCAAACTTTTCTATATATGAAAATATCAGGGTACAAAAGAATACATATAAAATTATCAAAACCAGAGAAACTTCTTAGCAAAAAAAGACTAGAGAGCAATATACCAGAAGTGTCATAGATCCAAGCATTACTCTGAGAATCAAAGCATATTATCTTATTTTTACACATTTCCCATTTTTAAAATAAATATATTTATAATCACCAAATGAAACCTTAATACACATGTGGCATCGGTGTATCACGTCCTCCTGGTTACAGTCAAATTCCCATCATGTTTTTTCCATGGATGAGCTTACTCCAGGCACAAGGAATGTGTGGATGTCTTTGCTTCTTGTTTAGTTTTATGTACTAGTTTGTTAGGTCTGTGTAATAACATTATTGTTATTTTGGACTTATTATTTTTCAGCAAACCCATCTTGCATACTGTATTTTCTCAAACATGATGTAATTTTAGTGAGGATTGCTAATCTCTTGCTAGGTGATTATACTGCAGGTATTGTCCTCAGCCAGCCGTTTTGTCACTGATATTGCCTGGGTATAAAGATTACCGGGAAAGGAAATTGCCCATTCCAGGGAGCTAGGGTGTAATTGCATTTTACAGTGCCTTTGCTTCATCTTTTCCTTCTCCAAGCTATTGTAACTCAGCAAGTTTTTAACTGAACATGCTTCTCAGAATTTCAACATCGTTATGTTCCCGCAGAGAAAAGAAATGAAAGAATTTTCCAAATTAATCTAAACTGCTAATTCAGAATCATTTGGAGGCCCCAGTAATCCAATGGGCTGGAGCATAAATACATACTAGAAAGTTAGGCTCTGACTTCTTTTTGTGTGTGTGACTTTTGACCTACTTTGTTTTTCAATGTGGATTTTAAATTTGATATCATTATTGACTATGTAATAATGTTTATATTACATACCTTCCTTTTACGTCTCCAAGTAATTCAGACTTCTGCCTATACATCCAGGATCAGTCCCTTGTGTGGGTTTGTCTTTAAAACTCCCAGCATTAAAAACAAACGGTCAGATTTTGTATTAAGGGATTTTGTTTAACCATCTCCTCATAAAGTGGTGTTTTTCAGCTCCCCATTCTCCATGCAGTCTCTGGGTGGCTATTGAAAATTATTATATGATAATAAATAGAGGAACTGGGTGTGTGTGTGTGTGTGTAAAGTGCATTGCAGGGATTGTTGACATAGAATGGGACGTGATAGCCCTGCACTGGCCCGTGAGTAACCTGTAGCTGAGGCTGCAGGGTTTCATCCTGATTTGCACCGTGTGACCCAGTCCTGTGTCGGTGACTCTGTGAGTGTCTGAGGAATGAATCCTCACATGAATGTGCCATCTGGACCTCTGCCTGGTCTTCCAAGGGGTCCGGTTCCCGATTTAGTCATGTGGTCTTCATTTTCTTAGCACAGGTGCAGCAGTGAACAGCAGTGAGAGCCTCCCCCCATCCTCGTCTGTCAATGACATCTCCTCCATGTCCACGGACCAGACTCTGGCGTCTGACACTGACAGCAGCTTGGAAGCCTCAGCGGGACCCCTGGGTTGTTGCAGGTGACTAGCCGCCTGCTTGCGGAACCCAGCGTTCTTCAGGAGCTGAGGGGATGGAACACACACACACCCGCACACACGCGCACACACACACACAGACATGCTCGCATGTAGACACACACGCTGAAGAATCAACAGGGGAGAGAATCCAAGCCTCCAAGGGAAGCCAATCTTTTAGCCTGCTTCTTCTCCAAAGTTCTGTATCGTAGCTGAGCTCCAATGTATATTTAACTTCTAGTTGCTCTTGCTTTGGTCTCTTTCCACCAATGCTTACCACAGAGAGCAAATCGAACACAAATTAGAGAAACCTTTCCCGTAAAGTGTATTTCCAATGGCTGCGAAACCAGCAACCTGTACTGCCCTTCCCTTCTGAATGGCATGACAAGGTGTGCAGTGGCCCCATCCAGCATGTGTGTGTCTCTATCTCGCATCTGCCTGCTCCTCTGGCCTAGTCAGATGGATGTAGATACAGATCCGCATGTGTCTGTACTTGGACAGCTCGGCAGAGAGCTGCTCCGTTGGTGTCCTCAGGGCTCCCCACGGCATCACGCGCTGGGGTCCCACACAGTCCATTTCTCTCGATCTATTACTCTGACATAAAACCATCTGTACTATATTGCCAGTATATAAGCTGTTTAGTTTGTTAATTGATTTAAGCTATATGTCTTACAAGAAAACATGTAAAGGGGGAAACGCGGGAGGGGGGAGTGAGCTCTCAGACCCTGAAGATGTAGCGTCCCGATTTGAACTGATTAAATGGCACCTGTGCACCAATTTGTAGAAGGAACATATGTGATGCTTATGGGCAGTGTGTGGGGGCACGGTAGCTTTCAGGTACCAAATGGCTCAGACTTAGGACGAAAGTGTGAATATTAGCCAGTGGTGAACAGGCAACAGGAACTGGAGGGTGCCTTGCGGTGTGGACTAATAACAGTGGAGATGATTGTCCAGAGGCCAGGAGAACCAGACATCTGTATTTTAAGGAGCAGAGCCCATTTGTCATTTCTGAATCCCATGTCACAGCAGGAGGCTACTGGAGAGAGTGCTGGTGAGGCAGGGTCGCTGTGTCACATTTCACAGCGAAAAGCATTAACATAGTTCCTAGCAGAAGCCTGTCTAGGGCAGTTTGTGATTCAGATGGTGGGCTGTGTTTTCTAGGGTGGGCTGCTTCTTGGGCTCATGCCCTGCCAAGGTTTTATTCTGAGAGGAAACAGTGTTGTCGTCTTCCAGAATAAAATAAAATTAATTAATTTAGATAAAGCCCCCAAAGCACAGAGTGATCCACAAGGTAGCATGTTGAAAACATCTCCAAAGACACCGTCTTTCCTCAAGAGAGGCCCTGACTCCTTAGTATGACTGCTGCTTCATGCTTACCTTTTTATGTTATGAAGTTGAACAGTGTAAGAAGGGCTGATAGGCTGAATATTGTACTGCAGTAGACGTGAGAGCAATAACATCCATGACTGCTGCGAAACCACATTAGCAATATGAGTTTGTCTTAAAGCCATGAAGCTTTCCTGTCAGTGTTTGGCAAAATCACCTGACTTTATTTTAAATCAAATCCAAGCGCTTTCTGGGCACTCTGGGAGGGTCTGTGGACTGTGGAGGTCACTGGACAGAGTCATCCCAGAAGGCTGCTTAGCAATAATCTCACCAGGCTAGGCTTTCCTTCTCGGTCACTCGGGGAAAGTGTCCGGCACTCTGGCCACCCTGGTGCTCACCAGTGTGTGGTATTTCACCTGAGGAATAACTAAAACACATAGAAGAAATGGTGGTGAGTGTGATCTGACCGGCACCTGGGAGCCCTTCAGAAATAGAGCAAACAGGGACACCGGTACTCTAAAAACTGCCTTAAATCCAGCAGCAGGGATGCTCCATCTCTTTTGAAGCAATAGAACTGTACCTGTTCCCACCACTGCCGAGCAGCCACTCAGGGGATTGCTTCCCATGGTAGGGTTCCTTGCAAAAGGTAACTTGTTTAAAATGCAGAGAACACCAGATTGTGCAGATTGTCCCCTGGAATAAAAATATCCCACTCTACTTGTTACCATTCTTTTTGATGAATGTTGCAGACTTTTTAAAAAAATGCCGCCTCGTTCACATGTGTCTTCTTGCTGTTCCTTGTGTCACGGTCTGGGTGTTTTGAACTTCCCTTCCCCGCGTCACTACTGTCTGTTTCTCTGAACTCTGCACTCAGCATATCTGTGACCTCTCCACTCCTCTGCTTTCTATCACATGGGCCTAAGTGCAGAGGTCAGGCAGCAGCTTGAAAGGCGCCTGTGTAAGGGGAGTGTCATGAACTTCACATGGACAACAAAAGCAGAAGGAAATCTCCACAGCATCTTGGAAGCAATCTGCTGTCTCTCATGTCTGCAGGCCTGATCATTTATTTTCTGAGTATACAGTCAAGAACTACACAATTCCAGGTCTTGCTCTTGAAACCTTTCCTGGGCTCTACTCCTCCTGTATTTCCTTGCCTATAGCTCTGGGAGGTCCCCTGTGGACAAGGGAAAAAAAAAACAAAAAGCAAAGAAACAAATCCCTTAGATTTACACAGCATTGACAAATAGAGGCAAGAATTTGGACTTCAGACAGGATTAATTTCCTAGGTCATCAGAGCAAGCTATACTAAAGATGGAATGACAAAGATAATTACCACTTTAAAAGCCCCCTGTGCTTCACAGTCTGAAGGGTCCTTGTTATAATACCCTTTCAAGGTGGTTATGATGATATTCAGAATATGTTATGTCTAGCATCAGTTCTTCTCAAGCAGCAAGAACACCAAATATTTCCTGTGTGGTCACTTGTTATTTCCAAAGGATGTTCTTACATTTTGGGTGCACTACATTTGTGAGAGTCATCCACACTATAATTTTGGAAAAAGGGAGAAGGTCTTGCCTCTGATGGGGATTGCTTTGGAATATGAGTTAGCACCTGAGGAGCTCAACCTCTGTCCTTTCAAGCTGGGGAGCTGCTGGGTCCACAGTGATCCTTGGTAAGACGTTTTGCAGTGTTTCCAAGAAGGGATGGGTGTGAGCTTGTGTGCAAGAACAACTAAATTGTTAAGAGAACATGGCAAACCAACACCAAAGTTGACACATCTTTACTAGCTTTATATGTGTTATGTGGACCCATGTGTTCATTTTTATAAATGCAAACATTGACCTCAAAACAAAATTTCTTCTTGTGGCATAAAAACAAAATAATATTTCATCTTCAAGGGCTTAATGTCTGAGCTCTCTAGAATGTAGTTCCCAGTTGGTTGAGAGCCAGGCCAGTTCCCATCCATTGGAGGAGGCTGTTTCATGCCTGGAAGAGAAGTTGTATAACTATGGAGTGGCAAGTGAGAAAATTGGTCTTGGCAAATGGAACTAGCAGAATAGATAAAAATACATAAATCATTTTGTGATCTGTCTGAAAGAGTATAAAAAAGCTGTTTTGTAAAGTTTTAATATTTATTGTAGAACCTACATTATACAAATTGTGTTTCTATTTAATTCTCTTAACATATGACAGTCTGCACCTTAAAAGCATTTGCTCTGTAAAAAAATGTTATTAAGGGACCGAGGATATAGCTCAGTAGCACAGGGTCTGCCTGGTAAGTGTGAGTTCATGAGTTTGATTCCTGGTACAAAAAAAGTCTAGAATGTTATCAACTAGCTTTGAATATATATATATATCTTCTACAACTCAGCCAGAGGATTAGAATTGCTCTAGGAATTTTTGTTACCAGCCTCTGGATCTGACTGAAGAGGAACCCACTTCCCTTCGATCCTTGCATTGTTAAGTATAAAAGCCCAACATTTATAACATATATCATTAAACCAAGGAATATCATCCATGTAAAACAAACAAAAGAACTGTAAATAGTTCAATCAATTATTTTGCTTGTGATTAAAATTTCGTAGTTTTTCTTTAACACTTAGTTCTTTGAGCAAACTGAGGTGGAAGGCCTCTGTTTATTCCTGGACTCCTGTATATCCAGCTTTTAATTATGTGGGACCAGTGGCCAGTATGTCCCCACATGCCATTCTCTGTTCACCTTGCCCTGTCCTTCTTGCAGTGGTCCTTAGCCTGTGATTCTGCATGATCGGACACTAAAGACCATTACCTATGATGAGCATTGGTTTATATCAGTGTTTATAAAATGTACTAAAGCACACACATACACATGCATGCACATATATGTTCACAAACACCCCCTGGCTGTTCTAGATCAATTCTGAAAGCCAAAGTCATGCAGGTCCTCTTTTGTAAAATCTTACAAGCAAGGCCTAAAGTCAGTCATCCTGGTGAATGAAATCAACCTCAGAGACGTTTAGCAAGGACTTGACATCATTCAAGCCATTTCTGTGTTCTTTCTCACATTCTCTGATTTCTCACTTTCCCTCTTCTGTTTGCAAAATACGTGTGGAACCAAGGATGGATTGGATGAGAGCTGTGGTTTCTTTTGACTCTTCATAGATTGATGCTGGATCAATATGTTTGATTTCTGTTTCTTATAAATTATTAAAACCAGAGGAAATTGGTTCCCCTTAATCAAACCAAAATGTTGTTGGAGTTTGCCTGTTGCCATGGTTACTCTGCTTCTTACCTCCCTGTCACACGCTGACCATGGGGCTGTGGAGGGTAGAGCCTGGCCATGCGGTCTGTTCTCCGCGCCAGGGTATGTATAAGGAACAGAGGGCTACTCTTTCACATGCCCACACACGTATCATAGGAACGCTGTGTTTTATTAAAGACCAATCTCTTCTAACTCTTCCCTTCATTTCTGTGTGCACACACCAGTTGTGTATCTGCCATTCAGTAAGTTTCCTATACAGTATGAAGGGGGGATCAGGGATTTAGCTCAGCCGCTCAAGCGCTTGCCTGGTAAGTGTGAGGTCGTGGGTTTAATCCCTGGTACCCCCCCCCCCCAAATCAATAAAGGGAAAAAAAGCCATTTTTTTCTGAGCCATTTATTCTGAGAATATGGTTAAATTTTTTAGATTAATGGTCAGAATTCCTAATCATTCTAATTATTATCTAAGACACTGATTTTTTGTTGATGTGATAGCAAACCTTAATGTTTCAAATTCTTTGGTGAGCTAAAAAATTTGACTTTGTGGCTTGATAAAGAGATCGTGGAACTTACACTGGTTTATCTGTCAGTACCTGAATGATGCTGAGGTTTTGCCTTACTTACTATTTCCGTAAATAATACATTTTATTTAATCAATTAACTGTGAGAAAGTCTGGAATATAAACGTACCTATTTTTTTGAGTTATCAAACATATTTTCTATTTATTTAAGGAAAATAGAGACCAGAATTTTTCATTACCTCTGGAAAAGCTTCTGTTTCAGTTTTGATCATAGATATTTACTCACTTAAAAAAAGTTTAAAAAAAAAAAAGGTCAAATATAAGTATTTGAAAATATAAGTAATTGAAAATACTCACAAGTCCGATGGAAAATTCCTTTCTACAAAGTGATTCCTCTTAGAAAGAAGGAGTCAGGGGACTTATTTAGTGCACCCCAAGTAGCATAAAATGTTACCGAATATGTGGTTTTGCTGGCCAACTTCGCAGTGAGCAAGCACTGCCTTTTTGAAATCACTTATGGCGCTACCAATGCAGAAGGCTATAGGTGTTTGCACAGGAAGAGCGCTTGTGGTAGTCAAGGTAGAGGTTTTGGACATCACCCATTGAGAGCGCTGAGTGAGCGTGGCAGCAGGGGCCGGTTGAAATCACACTCGCAGAAACAAGGCAACACCCCTCCGAAGCTCCGTGCTCCCCTGGGTCAAATGTTGTTCTTTAAAGAAGCTTTGTCCTTGTGTGAAACACAACGTAATGTAAATTTCAGATGTGGGTTGTGAGGCTGCAGCTCCACTCATGAGTGGAGAGTTATACTTCCCTGTCACTCAGCTTCTGAAGTTGTCCCTCACATGACCTTGTCTTGAATTTTTCTGGTGCCCAGTAGATCATGATGATTGTAACTGAAAAGTCGATATGAATTATTACTCATTTTACAAAAACCACTACACTCAGCCTAAAAGTCTGTCCCACACACAGTTTTTCTTCCATTTATACCTTTAGATTCACATCAGTGGCAATAACATTCATAAATAGTCATACACAAAATAAATTTTGTAACATAAATAATACTTCACACAGAAGGAATTAACATTAATTTTTTTTTCTTTTATAAAACAAACACTTTCAAAGATAAAATTGCCTTCTCCTCAAAGTTAATATACTGAAAATTTAGATTTGGCAAAAATTCATCTCTAAGACTTTCGAGTTTCACTTCTGAGTTGTGTTCTGAAGAAGCTTATCAATTCACGTCAAAAGCATTTATTGGGCATATCTATGTAGAAGACACGGTATCACCTTGAAAAATTTGGAATCAATAAACCCTTGTTTAAAACTATGCAGTGAAAGCAAAATAACTTTATCTAGTTCATTTACTTTTTAATTGATAATGTATTTCAATTGGTGACACAAGACTTGAATGAATCCATGAAAGCAACGAAATAAGAAACCTGGTTCATCCAGGGTTCTCAGCTTGCCTGATTGTACATCACCAATTAAATGAATCAGCATAGAGGAATTCTGGACATTATTCATTACATATGGAAGATGAAGGCATTTCTACAATTTATTTGAAAAACCCCAGTGGATGTTCTTTTCTGCGTTACAGATGTTTGCTCTGACAGCCGCTTGCTCTGAGAGCTACTGGGGTTAGATGCCGGGTTCGAGGTTCACACTCCGGGCATCAGCATCTGCACTTGAGCACATGACTTGGGTGCTGGGGTCTGCAGTGACAGCTGTCCCTGAAGCGCACCTTGGAAATGCGTGAGCCCATGGTTACTCCTGGAGTTCTGCAACAATTGGCCTCTAACTCCATCATTTATTGTTTCCTGGTAAAAGGCTCACTCCAGAAACAACCTGTGCATTTCACCCTGAAAGTTTCTCTGTACTCTAAACTCACAGTTCACACCAGGTGCTCCTGGAGCCCTTCATCTCCCCGGGGGGACTCCCGGACATGCTACCCACACAGA